GCCGCCGACGCCGCCAGTGACGGCGCCCAGGGGGAGGCACCTGACCCCTCGGGCGCCGCCGAGAACAGCAGTGAAGCTGCTCTCGCCAGCGGAGAGCGTCGCGGGCCTCGCAACGCGCTCTTCGCTGATAGCGAACGGCCTCTCGCGTCCACGGCAGACGCCACGCCAAAAGCGTCTGCCTCCGCGGAGGGCGGCTCGCCCGGCCCCGACCCTAGCGCCGCCAGCGCAGGATCGGCTCCCCAGGCCGCCAAGCGTGCTCCGCCACTGGCCCTCCGCTCCAAGGCCGCGGCGGCCCCTCCGCCTGCTATCGGGGTGGGCTCGTCGCGCGTCGGCTCGCGGGAAGCGCCAAAGGGGGCCTCAGCAGCTACCCCCCGCACCTTCCAGCGAGCGGCCAGGGTGAGCGCCTCTCGCCAACTGCTTGGCGTAGTGGACGGGGCCTCGCGCGGCACAATTGAGGCCGCCTTCAGGCGCCAGTCCCTAGTCTACCATCCAGACAGGACTCCCGCGCACCTGGGCGCCGACGAGCGAGCAGCCCGCGCGCTGAAGTGGAAGCAGCTCTGTGACGCCAAGTCAGTGTTGCTCCAGGCCGTCTCGCAGGCCGCCGCGCCGCCCGATGTTCCTAGCACGGGCGGCGACGGTCCTGCCGCCCGCGCCTACGCCCGGGCCAAGGCGGCAGGAAAGGGCGCCCGCAAGGGCAAGCTGGCTCCAGGGTCGACCATGGCCCTTCAGGCGCTCGAAGAGGCGGTCTCCTCGCGGGTCGCCCTTGCGAGCGCCGAGCTGGCCCCTCGGGCTGCCCTCCCCGCCCGGGCGCGCCTCTCCCGAGGGGCGGGGTTTCGTCTGCCCTCGCGACGCGGGCGGCTGAGTCGGATGCCATCCTCGTCTCCGCCGTGTCGCGCGGCCGCGTGGAGCTCGACGCACTCCGCACCGCGCGTGCCGACGCCACCAGGCGCACGGTGCAGGCTCCTGCACGCGGCGAAGGAGAGCGTGCCGTCGCTCGTGCCGAGCTCGCGGAAGGGATGGCCGATCGCGCCTACTTCCGACGCGTGCGCGAGGCCGCCAGTCGAGAGGCCGCGGGCTTGCCGCGCACTGCTCCCGTCCAGCTGGGTCGGGATTGGCGCAAAGCCTTGCGCGCCGTCCTGCACAACGCTGAGGTCTCGACGGGCCTCGCCATCGCAGAACGTGCCGCTCGTGCTGGGGACGCACCCGCGTCGTCCACTGGCCGCTCCTTGGCCGAGGTGGAGGCTGAGGACCCGCGCGCCTTGGCAAGGCCCGCCGACGACCCTGCGTCCAGCTTCAGCCGTCGTGAGCGGCGCGCGGTCCGCGCCCGCCTGGGCCCGCGGGATGAAGCGGTCGAGGACCAGCCCAACCGCGGTGGTCACGCGCCGCACTCCGCCTCGCGCACGGGCGCCGCGCGCACCAGGCGCGCCGCCAGGCAGCGGCGGGCTTCGATGGCGGCGCTCCCCGCCCCTGAGGGGGGGGCCGCCACGGCGCCTGGCCGCAGGGCGCGTCGCACTGCCAATGCGCGCCGCTGGGCAGGCGCGGCACGCCCCAGCTCCGCCGCGGGAGTGGGCTCCCCACCGCGGAGCCGCAGCCCTGCCCGCAGCCGTACGCGGTCTCCAAACCCGTACGGGACCGACCGCACCTCTCCCTCGGGGGGCTGCTCGTCGCCTCCCGTCGACGGCCCGATCTCGCCCGAGGAGCCGTCGGAGCCGCCTGCGGGGGAGGCATCGGAGGGCCCGCACACTCCTGACGGGTCCCCGCCCGCGAGCGTTCGCAGCCGCTCGAGAGCGGAGCCCGCGTGCGACGAGGACTCTCCGACGGAGCTCGAGGACGTCGTGCTGAGTGCCCTCGCAGACTCCTCGATGGACCTCGAGCGCGTCGTGGCGGGCCTGAAGCCCGAGGTCCTCCGCCGCCTGCAGGCGGCCTTCCCTCGCCGCTCGGGGGCCTCTCCGCCCGCCGCTCGCGCCTCGGTTCGCAGTCGCTCTCGGGGCCGCGGCACGCGTGTCGGCTCCGAGACTCCGCGGCCCGTGCCCCCGCCGCCGCCGCCGCCCCCTCACCACTCTGGTGGGCGTGCGGCGTCGCGATCCCGCGCGTCGGCCGCAGGCCAGGGGCTTAGTCGGGCCGTCGCGCGCGGCTCCTCTCGCGCGCCTTCGCGCCAGGCGACGTCGCCTCGGCGTCGCGAGGTGCGCTCCCCTCGAGTCGCTCCGAAGCGGCGCCCGAGCCCCGCTACTGCGCAGCGGCCAGCCATGTCCCGCCATGGTGCGAGCTCGGGCGACGCCCACGCAGGCAGCTCCCGCGCGGACTCCGCTGCTCAGGCCCCTCAGTCTTCGGTAGGCACGCGCTCCTCCAGCGATGCTGTTGCGGCCCCGCAGGGCGGAGGGCGTGCCGCCGAGGAAAAGGGGGTCTTCGAGCGGCCCCGCGCCTGGCCGAGATTCAGGGCACGAGCTGCATCCCAGCGGCTCCCACAGCGGCGACGCTGGGAGCGCCGCGGCTGCAGCCTTCGCAGCGCGGCGCACGGCCTCCGCGGCCGTTGAGCAGCCCTTGCCTCCAGGGGCCGCCACCGCCCTAGCGTGGCGTCTCAACCTCGGCGGTGAGAAGGTCACAGTGGTGAGGTGGGGACCCGCCTGGCAAGCTGCCTTCCAGAGCGCGGCGTCGTGGCTGAGGTCTTTCGCACCCGCAGGGGCCGCCGAGCCCGAGGGCAGAGATGACCTGCACTGCCTCCTGCAGGCCTTGCACGCCTATAAGCGCCTGTTTCAGACAGGCGGCGCCGAGCCGATCGACGAAGCCTCGTGGTTGCATCCTTACGTGGCCGCCGTCGAGCCCGAGGCTATCCCCGCGGGCGCTGACCTCCAAGCCATGGGGGCGGGCGCCATCCGTGGCATCGGGCTCGGCTCAAAGATCGAGCACAGGAGGCGCGCGGGCAAGTTGGCCTGCCTTTTCGACCTTCTGTACCACGTGCAGGACGGTCACGGCGCCATCCCAGCAGCGCTGTGGGGATCTCATTCCCCTCCGTCCGAGATCCTCGACGCGTTCGCGGAGGTGGTGCCCGTTCCACATCATTCGGGCCTCACGTCCTCGGCAGCTCGTTCCGAGCTCGCCGAATCGGCCGCAGCTGCGCGCGCCGAGCCGCGCCCGCCCTTTGACTGGGCGACCCTCGAGGGAGGGGGCGCTCTGCCCGCCGAGATCGAAGCAGGGGCTCGCCGTGCTCACCGTAACATGGGCGGATCCTTCACCTCGGCGCGGGCGATGCTGGCGGAGGCGTCGGGGTTCGAGACCGACGGGCGGGACACCCTCGTTCCGCCCTTCTACGCGTCCAGGAGCAGGAGGGCCGCCACGCTGATCAGCTCTCCCAGCCCTGGCCGCCCTGCGCTCATCCTGTGGTGCGTCTGCGGCCTCTGCATCTCTCTGGGAGCCGCGGCGCCGACCGCAGGCCAAGGGCTTAGTCGGGCTGCGCCTTCCGCGCCCGCTCGCCCTCCGCGCACTCCCTTCGTGCGCGATTCTCACCTCACCTCCGCGTATCTCGATCGTCGCTCGAGATCGATTGATGCGTTCGAACTGTGGTTAGCAGAACACACTGGCGTGCCGCCCGCCACTCTTTACCGTAGCGGGATACTTCTCGCCCGCTTCCTCGCGACCTTCGGCGTGTGGCTTCATGATGCAGGTTTCCCTCATTATATTCTGGTTCATGCCATCTTGGGAATCCAGAGCGCTCATCCGCATTGGAAGGCCTTTCTAACAGAAGCTTGGGACGTAGCGAAACAATGGAAGCTCGCGGAGCCGCCAAAGCTCCGCCCGCCCTTACCTCGCGCTCTGCTGCGCGCTATGGTCGGTCTCTGTTTCGCCTGGGACTGGCCTGTGATGGCGGCCTTGCTGCTCATGGGCTTTACGATGTTCCTCAGGCCTGGCGAGCTGCTGGCGTCACGCCGCTGTGACTTGTCGCTTCCTTGCGACCGCCTCGAAGTTGAAGGGGATGCTTTTCTTTCGATTCTTGTTCCAAAGACCAGGAGAACGTACCCGACGCAGCATGCTCGCTGCTCCGATCGGGGCACGGTGAAGATTCTGAATCAAGTGTTTGGGCGGTTGGCTTCCACCGATCCTCTCGCCCCTTTCGGTGCGAGCGGCTTCCGTACTCGGTGGAATCATTTGCTTTCGGCCCTGGGCGTCCCTCTTGCCAAAGCGGGTCAGGGGCTCAACCTGACGCCCGCATGTCTGCGGGGCTCTGGCGCAACAGACTTCTATATCGCTACGGAAGACGTCCCTCGCGTCTTCTGGCGGGGGCGTTGGCGTCAGGCTTCCAGTGCTGAGCGCTACCTGCAAGCCGCCGCCGCTTCCACAGTTCTTGCTGCGCTGCCCGTGCCCGCACGGGCGCGGATCCTGTTCTTCGCCACCGCCAGCGACCGCCTTGTCGCTTCATTTCTCCAAGTCGGCCCCGCCGCTTGGCCTGCCCTACTTGCGGCCGCCCGCCGAAACCTTGTCACTTCGCAAGGTCCTTGAGCACGGGTATGGCTGCCTCGCCGTCGTCGGCGAGCAGGCGGACTCCCCCGCCTGACGCGCGGCGCCCCGGCACGAGCGCGCGGGACGGGCCTGCCCATTTTGGGCCGCCCCGCGCGCGCGCGCCGCGGCCGCGCTCGGAGACAGCTCGCTAGCGCGCGAGCGGGAGAATGCCTCTTCTATTCTCTGTGAGCAAGCTCCTGCTGTCTCCGCAGCTTCTCTGCCCCCCTCCCTCCTCTCCCAATCTAAGGCTGATGGGCGCTGCCTCGCCGTCGTCGGCGAGCAGGCGGACTCCCCCGCCTGACGCGCGGCGCCCCGGCACGAGCGCGCGGGACGGGCCTGCCCATTTTGGGCCGCCCCGCGCGCGCGCGCCGCGGCCGCGCTCGGAGACAGCTCGCTAGCGCGCGAGCGGGAGAATCATCCTCCTCCTCATCCTCCTCCTCATCCTCCTCCTCCTCCTCCTCCTCCTCCCCTCTCACTAGTCCCCGCCGTCCGTCGCCCGCGCACAGGCGGCGGTGCAGCGCGACCCTCCGACCGAGCACATGGCGGGCCACCCACCCCCCGCAGCGCGCCACGCGAGCGACGCAAGGAGTTCTGGCATTACGGGTCCAACTTCGGGCCTCTGGCGGCCGTTCAGGACGATCTGGGCGCCCCCGAGAGCGCCCTTGGCGAAGCGCAGATGCTGGGAAGCACCCCGAGGCTGAAAGACCTGGAATTCGCGAAGACGTCCGAACGAGCCTCTCGAACGAGGCTCTTCCCCCCCCCCCCGCCCCTCTTCTTTCTACCCCTTCTCTTCATCCTCCCTCGCCCCATGTTGGAATCCCAGTTGCAGCACCTGGGGGTTCCTGCTCCGCTGGTATAGGGGCGGTTGCCGCTGGCTTTCCAGTGGTCGACGTGGAGGAGTGGGGTGCCCCATTGAAGGACGCCCCCGCGTAGTCTTTCGGACCGAGTGGCAACGGGACGTTGCAGTATTAGGCCCCTCCGACAGGAAGTGAACTGTCCCACAGCCATCCCTGACTGGGAGGTGTCGCTAAATGGGCTGTGCCCGCGGCCCGCCCGATGCAAACCCAAGCCATCACCACCATCAGCATCATCAGCATCATCATCATCATCAGCAGCAGCAGCTGCATCCTCATCAGCATAATCAGCATCATCATCACCATTATCATCATCAGCATCACCATCGTCAGTATCATCACCGTCGTCATCATCATCACCACCGCAACCACCATCACAACCACCACCACCATCACCTCTTCTCTTCTCCCATCCCCTCACCCCCCACCCCTCCTCCTCCCCCTCCTCCTCCTCCTCCTCCTCCTCCTCCTCCTCCTCCTCCTCCTTGTCCTCCTCCTCCTCCTCCTCCTCCTACTCCTCCTCCTCCTCCTCTTTCTCCTCCTCCTCCTCCTCCTCATCATCATCATCATCCCACCTCCCCCCGACTTCCGCCTCAACCCGCTGCCCCGGCCCCGCGCGAACGCTCGGCAGCGCAGGGGTGTTTGGAAGCAAGAGCAGTCGCCAGGCGGTTATATCTTCCTCCTCATCGTCATCATCAGCATCATCAACATCATCATCGTCACCATCATCATCCTCATCATCATCATCATCATCATCATCAGCATCATCATCATCATCATCATCATCATCATCATCATCATCATCATCATCATCATCATCATACTCCTGCTCCTGCTCCTGCCCTTGCTCCGCCTCCTCGTGTTCGTCCTCCCTTCTCCTCATCATCACCATCATCATCACCACCAGCATCATCGTCACCACCATCATCGTCATCGTCCTCATCATCAGCATCATCATCATCAGCAGCATCATCAGCATCGTCAACATCAATATCATCATCGTCATCATCATCATCACCATCATCATCATCATCATCATCGCCATCATCATCAGCATCAGATTCGTAATCAGCACCACCATCATCATCACCATCATCACCACCACCAGCATCATCGTCACCATCATCATCATCACCCTCATCAGTATCATCATCAGCCTCATCATCGTCGCAAGCAGCATCATCATCATAATCGTCATCTTCATCACCATCGTCTTCTTCGTAATCATCACCGGCATCATCATCATCACCATCAACATCATCAGCACCATCACAATCATCATCATCATCTTCATCATCACCACCAACAGCATCATCATTGTCTGAGTTTTCGTCGTAGCGTCCTCATCAGCAGCACCACCAGCATCATCATCAGTAGCATCACAATCGTTACCACCAAAATCATCACTAGCATCATCATCATCAGCAGCATCCTAATCATCGTCATCGTCGTCATCATCATCCTCCTCCCATCCTCTTCCTCAGCCTCACCCTGATCCTTATCTTTTTCCGCCCCGACTTGTTATCCTCGGGGTCCCGTGCCCCCGTCGATCTGTCCTAACCTCCTCCTCCTTCTCCTCCTCCACCTCCTCCTCCGCCTCCTCCTCCTCGTTCTCCTCCTGCTCCTGCTCCTGCTTTCGCTCCTGCTTCGCCTCCTCGCCGTCGCCTTCCATTATCCACCTCTTCCTCGTCATCACCATCATCATTAGTATCATCAGCAGCATCACCATCAGCAGCATAACCACCATCAGCAGCATCATCACCATCGTCACCACCATCACCAACATCCTCATCATCATCAGCAGCAGCATCGTCATCATCGCCAGCACCATCGTCAGCATCATAATCATCGGCATCGCCATCATCCGCAGCAGCATGAGCATCAGCACAATCATTGTTATCAGCATCCTCATCATCACCAGTAGCAGCAGCAGCAGCCGCCGCATCCTCATCCTCATCCTCATCCTTTTCCGCCCCGACTGGTTATCCGCGGGGTCCCGTGCCCCCGTCCAGCCCGCCTCTCCTCCTCCTCCTCCTCCTCCTTCTCCTCCTCCTCCTTCTCCGCCTCCTCCTCCGTCTCCTCATCCTCCTCTTGCTTCTGCTCCGAATCCTGCTCCGCATCCTCGTATTCGTCATTCCTCCTTCTCCTCCGCCTCCTCCTCCTCTTTCCCCCTCCTTCTCCTCCCCAACACCATCATCATCAGCATCGTCGTCATCATCATCACCATCATCATCAGAATCATCATCCTAAGCATAATCATCAGCATCGTCATCCTACTCATCGCCAACATCATCAACATCACCTTCATCATCAGCACCATCAGAATCAGCATCATCATCATCAGCAGCATCATCATCTGCATCATCATCATCGTCGTCATCACCATTATCACCGTTAGCATCACACTTACCATCATAATCCTGAGCATCATCGTTATCAGCATCATCATCAGTTTGTTCATCATCATCATCGTCCTCGTCATAATCACATCATCATCCTCGTCATCAGAGCCATCAGCACCATCATAATAATCATCTGCATCATCATCAGCATCATCATCAACGTTACCGTCATTTTCATATACATCGTCATCGACAGCTGGAGCCACATCAGCATTAACACCAGCATCATCGTCATCACCATCATCATCGGCAGCATCAGCAGCGTTACCATCACCTTCAACATCAGTGTCATCAGAATCATCATCAGCGTCATCATAGTCGCCATTATCACCTCCATCGTCATCATCAGCACCACCATCACCATCAGCATCATTATTACCATCATAATCCTCAGCATCGTCAGCAGCATCACCAGCATAAGTTTCATCATCACCATCATCCCCGTCGTCCTCGTCATAATCATCACCATGCCATCATCATCAGCATCACAATTATCATCATCACCTTCATATTCATCTGCATCGGCATCGACAGAAGGAGCCACATCAGCATTACCACCAACATGATTACCATAACCGTTATCATCAGCAGCAGCAGCATCATCATTCGCATCATCATCAACATCATCGGCATCCCCATCATCATCAGCATCATTACCTTCATCGTCCTCATCATCATCATCATCGTCCTCGTCTTAATCATCCTCAGAATCATCATACTCATAATCATAATCATCACCATCATCATCAGTGTCATTATCACCTTATTCTTCAACTGCATCGCCGTCGACAGCAGGAGCCACATCAGCATTACCACCAAGATCATGTTCATCACCATCATCAGCAGCAACATCATCATCATTATCATCACCATCAACATCATCGTCATCCTCATTGGCATCAGCATCATCAGCATCATCAGCATCAGCATCGTCGTCATCATCATCACCATCAGCATCATCAGCATCGTAATCAGCATCATCATCACCATCGTCATCGTCACCACTATCGGCATCACCATCATCAGCATCAGATTCATCCTTGTCCGTATCATCATCAACATCATCATCATCATCATCATCATCATCATCATCCTCAGAATCATCATCATCATCATCCGCATCCTTTTCCGCCCCGATTGGTTTTTCTCTGGGTTCCGTGACCCCGCCCATCCCTCCTCTCATCCTCACTATCCTCCTCCAGCTCCGCCTCCTCGTCTTCGTCCTTCCTCCTCCTCCTCATCACCATCATCATCACCTTCGTCGTCATAATCATCCTCACCAGCACCAGCATCATCATCATCATCAGCAGTATACTCATCATCAGCAGCAACAGCGTCACCCCCACCATCATCATCAGCATCATCATCAACATCAGCAGCAGCAGCTGGATCAGCATCACAGCAATCATTATCCTCATCATCCTCTTCATCACCATCATCATCACCATCATCATCACCATTATCATTATCATCCTCATCCTGATCCTCATCATCGGCCTCATCCTCACCCGCCTCGACTGGTTATCCTCGGGGCCCCGCGCCCCCGTCCATCCCTCCCCTCCTCCTCCTCCTCCTCCTCCCCCTCCTCCTCCTCGTGCTCCGCCCTCTCGCCCTCCCGCCCCGAGCGGTCGCCCCCAGCCCGCACGTGAGGGCCCCGCCCTGGTCTTCCCGGCCGGTTGAGAAGAGCAGGAGGATGCGGGAGGGCGGGAGGGGGCGGGGGGGGGAGTTTCGAGGTCAAGGTTTGCGGACGTTTCCATTGGCTCTCGGCGGTTTCCCAGCCCGGGAGTGCCCTCCAGCGGCTGCCCCATCGCCGAGAGCGTTCCAGGGGCGCTGCGCTCGCCCCGAAAGCTGGAGACCCAAGTGTTTTCGGGGGACGGGAGTATCCCCCTCCCTCCTGGTCCCCTCCCTCGACCCCTCCCTCCTCCAGCTCGCCCCCTCGTCCCTCGTCCCGTCCCTCGTCCTCTCCCTCGCCCCCTCCCTCGTCCCCCCGCCTTCTTCTCCTCGTCCCCCCCCTCCTTCCCCAGCTAGCCCAGCGCTAGCCCCCCTTCTCATCGTCCTCGCCGTTGGGCGAAATAGAAAATAATCCCCCTCCATCCGCCGACTGACGGAGTGCGTGTCGTAAGGTGGCAGGAGGGGATGTTTCGGCCAGCGGCGAAGAGGAGGAGGAGGAGGAGGAGTGGAAGGAGGGGAAGGAGGCGGAGGCGGATGGAGGAGGAGGAAGGAGTGGAAGGCGGGGAAGGAGGGAAAGGAGGGGTAGGAGGAGGAGGAGGAGGAGGAGGAGGAGGAGGAGGAGGAGTGGAAGGAGGGGAAGGAGGTGGATGGAGATGGCGATGAGGGGGAGGCGGATGGAGAGGATGCCGAAGCAACGAGGAATGAAGTCGACCTGGCATGTGTCGGTCCGAGGCCTAAAAGTGCTTGTCAAAGTATCCATCGTCGCCCCGTTGGGCACACAGGCCCGCCATGCTCCCGCAATGCGCGAAGCTAGCCTCAATGCGCACATGGAAAATTTGGGATATGGGTTCAGCTCGGCTGTTTGATTTTTCGGTGAGCACGATTTTCAGATAGGCGTAGAGCTCAACAAGGCCGTGCTCCTGCAGCGCATTGCCCCAGTCTGCCAGATCTGTTTCGGCCCGCCTCACGACGAGGGACGCGGGCCACCGCGCCCTTCTCGGGGAGGGCTCCACATAACCCCAGTGGATCCCGCCAGTTGTGCCTCGCCGATAGTTTCAGCAGAAGGCTTCCACACCGCATTTTCCCCGTCAGCGCGCCTGCCTCTCTCCCTTCTTGCCTCTCTCTCCCTCGCTCCCTCCCACTCTAAGGCTCCCTCTCCTCCTGCGCGGAGCAGCAGGAGGAATGGCCACTTCTGGCGCTCGCACTGATGTGCCGCTCAACGATGATGTGCCCGCAGCGCTTGTATGGAAGCCCGCCCGCTGGTTTGCCGCCGCACACGCTTCAGAGATGACTTCTCCTCCTCGGCACTGGACGCCAGGCTCGCGCCAAGTCGACGCAGCGGCGACGCCGGCGCGGGTGCTCCAGGTTGATGGCAACCGACGGTTTGAGCCAGGCCAGCCTTGAACGGCCTCAGCAAACCAGCATAAACGTAGGCACGGCAGGGACCTGCCGACTTTCACCGCTGTGGTTCGAGAGCGAGCGTTCAGTGGTCTGCGCCAGGCTGGGGTTCCGCAAATCCCACAGCGGGCCACAGTTTCTGCCAGATGCTTGATACCCAGGTGGCCCAGTATTGCGATAGGGTTATCGCCATACCATGCTGGCCCCATTCGTAGTTCCCCAAACCCCGATAGATCCTCATCCCCGCCGTCCTCCTCCTCCTCCTCCTCATCCTCCTCCTCCTCCTCCTCCTCCTCCTCCTCCTCCTCCTCCACTCCCTCCTCCTCCTCCTCCTCCTCCTCCTCCTCCTCCTCCTCCTCCTCCTCCTCCTCCTCCTCCTCCTACTCCTGCTCAAATTCTTTTTTCCTCCTCGGGGAGTGCTGTTCTCGCCGAGGACCTGTGCCACGTTTTTGTCGGGGCCTGCCCGCGGGGGCACCGACTTGTCCGAAGCTCCGTGCCATATGCTGCAGCACACGCCGGCCAGGGCGCTAGACCTGCTTGGGCACCCTTTGCGGGTTCCGCGGGACCAGGGTTCCAAGTTTTCGACGCAATTGCGCCATCTGCTTCCCGCCGTTTTCGGGTTGCACGCAGCTTCCAGGACCTGGGACCGTCGTAGAACGATGCAGGATTGAAATCCGGTCCCCGGCAAGGGGTCCAGAGCTTCAGGAGCAATGGATTCGAAGAAATTGGGTCGTCGGATAGAACGCCGCCCCTACTGAGGTCCCGCCCACTACGGTATGTTTTTGGACCGACGCGCGAGAGTGCCGTTTATGTGATGGCTCCACGTCGCTCCTCCAGGGTCCATGCGTCCAGTGCCAAGCCAAAGGCTCAGAAAGGATTCCCATCGTGCTTCGCGAGGTGCCTTCGTAGTAGGACTCTGACAAGTAATCGCAATCAGATTCAGCCGCGGTTTAGTTCGTTACAGTCGCACTCCAACATTACACCCGACTCATGCGATTCTTGTAGTGATTACGATTGCAATGCACGTGGGGGGTACTTGGATCACAATGCCATTCATGGGCATCCCAGGATCTCGTCAGGAAGATTAAAGTTCCAACGACACGTAATGCTTCAAACGGCTGTCTGTAACATGTTGCCCCAGCGTCTCTCGCGCAACACAAGCGAAAGACTAGACTTTGAGCAACGGAGCAGCCGACGGTCTATGTCACTACGTAGTGCGGACGTTATTACGAGGTTGTTTTTTCTTCCAGTGCCCCCTCCCTGCAACCGTGCAATGGCAGTTTTCCTGCCCTGACCATTCTGCGGATACCAGTGTTGCTGCCAGTGTTGCCGTTGCAGCCGCTGCTCCGTCGTCTTCCCTCCTCCCTCGTCGTTGTCGTCGTCGGCGTCGCCGTCCTTCCTCCTCCTTCTTCGTCGTTCGCGTCGCCGCCGTCCTCCCTCCTCCCTCGTTGCTGTCGTCCTCGTCGTCGTCATCGTCGTCGTCGTCGTCGTCGTTGTCGTCGTCGCCCCCCCTCCGTTTCTGACGGCCGTTCTCTCTTCCCCGCTGCACGCATTCGCCGTCCCCCCTTGACCACCCAGTTTCATGTTTCCATTGCTTGCGGGGCAGGCGGACATATACTACCATCTGGGAGTGTCATACGCCAACCTGGGCAAGCACCAGCTAGCGGTGCCCTGCCTGCATGAAGATGCCGCTCGACGGTGTAGGTAGGCACGAGATCGATCGATCACGGATTGTCGCCCGAGCCGATATTCGGTTGTTGACGTATTGTGAGATCGTTTGTTGGTGAGAAAGGAGGTGACGGAAGTTGATTCATCCACGTTTGTTGCACGATCGTGTCGATTGCGTGTTCGCGTGATTGAGCGCACCCGATCCATATCGCATGCGTTTCGCGTTGTGGCTTACAATGCTACTTATTAGTTCAGCTTGTCGTCTCTTCTCTCGCTGCGCTCGCCAGTGCCGCTGGCGCTTCTCGCCTCACCAGCTGAGACCACGCAAACGTTTCTTGCTTTCGAGACCACGCCTCCAGTGCATCGTCTCCCGCGCACTGCTACCGCGATACATAACCGCGAGGCACCGCGCCGCGCGGAAGATCACTCTTTGCGACACGGCATTCCACGGCATCGACACCACACGCCACCCCACAGCGCCACCACACGACGCCACACCGCGCGCCGACTCGGCACGACGCGGCACTGCACGGCACAGCACCACGAGACCACGCCGCGCGACGCCACCCCGACGGCACCGCCACGAGGCGCCGCCCCGCGCGACGCCGGGCGGCGCGCCGGGGCCTCGGGGCCCACGGCGGGACCATGCACGGCACCCGCGCGCACGGCACGCCACGGATGGCGCGGGCCTCAGCGGCAGGCGGGGGCTTAGCCTCGACGGGCGTCGGCCAGCGTCGATCCGGCGTCGATCTGGCGTCGACTTCGCCTCGATCGGCGTCGACGCAGCGTCGCCTCAGCAGCGACCAGCGTCGATCAGCGTCGACTCGAGAGGGCCGGGCTTGCATGAACCGGTCCGAAGTGTTCGAGCTCGTGCGGGTCCCTGCCTCTGCACGGCTATCTTGTGGCCGCCGGGATGTCACCCCACCTCTTGGAACGTAAAGAGCGTCAGAGCACGTATGCCGTGACAGGTCAGTTGAGCGTTTCAGTGGCCCGCGCACGCAACATGTGTTGGAGTCAGAGGCTATCGTGGTGGAGATGGGGACGAAGCGGGTGCTTCAAGCGTTCGGTGCAGCCGTCGGGGAGCTGATGTAGGAGCTGGAAACGAAGAGGAAAGAATGGGGGGGATGGGGACAGGAGGATCAGGGGGGAAGGGCACGCGTGCGCGCGCGCCCAAGCTCGCCCGATGGGTGCTGCGGAACGCAGCAGCGGTCAGAGACGGCGCGGGATCGGATCTCCGAGCTCGATGTCTCGTCTGGGGCCGCCTGGGACAGGCTTACCACCCTGAATCCCCAGCCAGCTCATACGCCTCTTCGGCTCAGAAGTCGGCTTTTGATTACCTGCCTGGTTGTCCGGCAGCTGCTCCATGCTTGGACAGCGGCGATATTGTAGACATGTCCAGAACTGGGAGAAGACATAGACGAGTTAACAGAATTGCGAAAGGTAGACGAGTACGACGAGTTAGTGGGCAGAAAATGAATACATGGTTGTACGAGTCAGAAATGTCAGGAGTATAGACATATGAATCACTTATCGACACGTCAACATTTTATCAAACAGGAGAGTTACATCACGTACCTACTTGACCACCCTTCGGGTGATAACGAGATTGTGCGGGAGGAGTGCCGCCGCTGGTTTTAGAGAAGTTGGCTTCGCATCGGATTAGAAATTTTTGCGAAGGAGGGGGCAGGGTCGAGGTGGAGGTAGCGAACCTGCAGGGCCCCCCTGTGTCCAGAACAGACGACATCCAGGAGACGGCCAGCGATAAGTTTCGTGGGTTCGATATGAAGACCATCTTGAACAAAACCGTTATGCAGAACAACAGTATTGTCCTTTCCATGTGCGAACTACGTAGCAAGCCATGTGACGGCTCATCTGTCCAGGAATATCAAAATTTACATGTAGATCGCCGTTTATGGTGATGATGGGTCTGCTGATTGCGTAGTGACCACTGGACAACCCACGGAGCTGAGATCATTGGGCTGTGAGCTTAGATGGATTGTCTACGCTCGTTGCTATACGAGTCATGTGTTTTACCAGCGGCGGCCTACTGACCGTGCTAGATACGATCGTTATACCGATCTCACGCTGCACATATAGTGTATGGATCCCCACAGAGTGTCTGCACTTCGGGGTCATTACCTCTTTTCTAAGGAGCTGGGCCTGATCGCCTGCATAGCAGTGATGTGGTCGCCGTCGCCGCCCCGTCGCTGCCTCGTCGCCGCCCGCCTTCTGGGCCTGCTCGTCGGTGTGGCGGCTCTGTGGTCGCCGTCGCCGCCCCGTCGCTCTTCCTCTGCGCCTGCCCGTCGGTCGGGCGGCTATGGGGTCTCCGTCGCCGCCCCGTCGCCCTCTGGGCCTGCGCGAGTTTGCACTGCGGTGCGATGCTTTGCATTTCGATGATTTTTGCAGTGCGTTCCTTGCGTTGGCCTGCACTGGTTCACATTGCACTGCATTGCTTCGCCCTGCTTTATGTTGGTTTGCATTGCATTGCTTTGATTTGCACTGTTTGGCATCATGACGCACTGGTTCTCACTGCTGGTCCATGTTTTGCATTACTGAGCACTGCTGGGCATTGCGTTGCATAGCATAGCACAGCAGGGATGGGAGATGGAGGAGGAGGAGGAGGAGGAGGAGGAGGAGAAGGGAGATGACGAGGTTTGCGGCTTCCTCATTGTGGCCTTGCGTACCACAGCGCTTGCGTACACCACAGCACGCCCAACAGCACGTCAAACAGTGCATGAATTTAGTGTGCTCATTTCTTTCCACAACTAGTGCTTGTACGCCCGCATTCCGAATTCCCCAAACAGTGTTTGCCCCTAGGGGTCCTTATCTCCTTTCTGCCGACACTAGCCTGCGGGCCGCTCTGGTCGCCATGCGGCCGCCGTCGCCGCCTCGTCGCCGGCCGTCGCCTGGGCATGCAGGCCGCTCTGGCCGCCGCCACCTTGTCGCCGTCCGCCGCTTCGTCGCCGCCCGTCGTCGCCCGTCGCCTGGGCACTGTATTGCAATCGCATGGCATTTGCATGGCAGTCGCATTATTTTGCATTGGTTCGTATTCTGTCGCATCGTTCTGCATTGTTTTGCGCTGCTTTGCAATGCTTTGCGCCGCTTTCCACTGCTTTCCATTGCTTGCGATTAATGTCCATTATTTCCTATTGTTTTGCATTGCCGTGAATTCCATTGCATTGCGTCGCATTGCTTTGCGCTGCATTTCGTTACAATTACAGTGCCTTGCCTTGTTATTCGTTGCATCGTTTGGAACTGGTTTGCATTGCTTCAATTTGCGTTGCTTTGCGTTGCTTTGCATTGCTTTCATTGCGTAGTGTGGCTGCGCCTGGTTTTGCATTATGTCGCATTGCGTTGCATTGCTTTGCATTGTGCTACATTGCTTTACATTGCCTTGCATTGTTTCGAACAGTTTTGCCTTGCGTTGCCTTGCTTGACATTTCTCTGCATTGCTTCGCATGGTTTTGCATTTACTCGGTGTGCGTTGCATTGATTTGGATTGCTTTGCATTGCATGTATTTGCATTGCTTTGCGTTGTTTTGCATTGCGTTGCATTGTATTGCTTTGCATTGGTTTGCATTGCTCTGAATTGATTTGCTGCGGCGGATTGTCCGGCATTGCTTCACATTGTTTCGCATTGCTTTGGGTTTCTCTGCCTTGCTTTGCATTGCGTTGCCTTTCTTTACGTTGCATTGCTTTGCATTGCTGTGACACACAGACATTGCAACACATGGATTGCACCGCCCAAATTGCACGACAGTGATTGTATTACTTAAATTGCACATGAAAGCACGGTTTGGGGTCCACGCTGGCTAACATGTATGTATGTACACGCAGACATTTATTTATATATATATATATATATATGAATGTGTAGACGTGCGCGTGTGTGGTTTGAATTATTCCGCAATTGTTTTTTTGATTTGCATTTTTGTCCCCAAGCAGTGTTTGCATTCAAGAAGTTTTACTTGTGTCACCTTTGTAACTGGGCAAGGCTTCTGGGGTTTCGCATTGTGCCGAGTTGGTGCTCGTCTGTTGGCACCTCATGGGCGCCCTGTGCGTTGGGTGGGTCCGTTGGGGTTCCGCTTGGTGCCGGCCCGTGTGCGCCTCGCGGGTGGCCGCCCATGGAAGCCTCGTTGGCGTCCGCCACGCATATTCTCCTTTGTAAAGAGAAAACTAGGTTCTACCATCCCGATGCAAAACATATAGGATTCTGACCCAACGTCCATCCAACCTGTGAACTCATACTATCCCAGCCAGGCCGTAATCGACCCCCCCCCCGCCATCCTCTGCAAAAAATACTATGCGCGCACGTTCGTTTATCATAAACCATACATTTTCAAAAATTCCCTTGCAACAAAAAAAGACGACGTGCACACGCGCGCGTCGCCGCGCGCGCATGCCGAAATCCTTCAAAAACTCCCGGTTTCGGAAGGATTTCAAAATCGAGTTTCCCCCCACTGATGTTCTAAAAGAGCTTACACGCGCGCTCTTGCGAAATCTTGAGAAAGCCATAGGTTTTTCACCCTTTAAAAAAGTAATAATAATAATAATTTCCCCCCCCAAAAAAAAAGAAACAAAAAAACGGGCGTCGCGCGCGAGCACGCGCATGTCGAATCGTTCGAACGCCCTTGCGCGCGTGCCGTCGCGAGAATACTCTGCAAAAAACGGAACGAAGTGCACGCGCGCGCGTCGTCGCGCGCGCATGCCGAAATCCTTCAAAAACTTTCTGTTTCGGGGGGATTTCAAAATCGAGTTTTCAAAAAAATACAAAAACACAAGGTTTCGCAACATGGATTTGCATCAAAAGCGTGCGCGCGCGCTCTTGCGTCGTCGTCGTCGTCGTCGCTGCCGTCCTCCTTCCTCCTTCGTCGTCGTTGTCGTCGCCGTCGTCGTCCTCTGTTCTTCCTCGTCGTCGTCGTCGTCCTCTTTGGCGTCGTCGTCGGTTCCGTCGTCGCTGTCGCCGTGATCGTCCTTCCTCCTCCCTCGTCGTCGTCGTCGTCCGTCGTCGGCGTCTCGTCGTCGTCCCTCCTATTTCGTCGCCGTCGTCGTCGTCGTCGTCTTCCCTCCTCCCTCGTCGTTGTCGTCGTCGGCGTCGCCGTCCTCCCCCCTTCTTCGTCGTTCGCGTCGTCGCCGTCCTCCCTCCTCCCTCGTCGTTGTCGTCGTTGTCGCCGTCGTCGTCCTCCCTCCTCCCTCGTCGTCGGCGTCGTAGTCGTCGGCGTCGACGTCGTCGTCGTCGTCCTCGTCGTCGGCGCCGTCGTCGTCGTCGGTGTCATCATCGTCGTCGTCGGTGTCGCCGTCGTCGTCGTCGTCGTTGTCGTCGTCGTCGAAATCGTCGGAGACGTCATCGGTGTCGTCGTAGTCGGCGTCGTCGTCGTGGTCGTTGTCGCTGTCGTCGTCTGCGTCGCTGTCGTTGCCAAGTGCCATTTGGTACCCATCGTCACGGTCTTAAGAAGCCTTGCGACCAAGTTGCGGGTGGGAGGGTGGGATGTTTGCACGAGCAGCGGAGAGGACAGCTTCAAGACAGTCAAAGTGAATGCCACCACATAGATTGCACAACATAGTTGGCATCACATAGCCCCCACGGCATAGAATGCACAGCATAGCTGACACCGCATTGATTGCACCACAGTTTTAATGATACAGTTTTCACCACATAATTGTTCACCACATAACGGGCACCACATAGCTTGCATCACACAGACTGCACCACATGGCTCGCATCGCAGAATTCAACGTCTGTACTCGACATCGAGCGTGCATTAGCCTACTGCTTGGGGTCCACGCTGATCTCCACACCTTTATGTCATATGATATACAGCGAGTTTGAAAAATGTTTTACTCATTTACCTATTCAAGTGCTTCAAACATGTATGCATAGATGTACCCATCATACTATCTACCTGAATGAACCTGGATGTGCCTGGCGATTTGCATGTCCAGCGGGACGGACACGAGACAATCCACGGGGCAAACAACGGAACAGCCCAGCGGGCAATCATTGGGCAACCGACGGGAGAACCCCCCAGGAAACACCCACATGACAGCACAGGGGACAGCCCACGGGACAGCCACGGGACAACCCATTGAACAATTACGGGACCATCCACGAGACAACAAGAAACAATCCACGGGACAATCCATTGGATAACCACTGGACCACCCACGGGACAACCACAGGACAACACGAGAAACAACCACGTGGCAACACATTGGACAACCCACGGGGTAATCACAGGACAACCCACAGGACAACCAAAGCACCATTTACGGGACAACTTTTGGGACAACCCACGGGCCAACCACGGAATAACACCGCAGGCCCTCGCGACGCACGAAGGGAAAGTGATTGCCAGAGATAGCCCTAGCTAGGCCGACGCATCGCTGACCCGCGCAGCTTCGCCTCGCCCGAGCGCAGGACACGAATCGAAACTTTAACCGATTTCCCAGCATGGGTCACTTCGCTCTCTCTCCCCCTAATCCTCTGAGAACGGGCAGGACATCTATACGGAGTTCCTTGGTTGGAAGAGTTAGCAGGATTGCAGGCTTCCGAAGTGCCATAAGAGATAGAAAGTTGACGGCTTCGAAGAGTTAGAGTATTCGCGGCGGGGGGGGCTTCCAAACCTACATGTCAGCAAGGGTTAGAAGAGCTACGCAACAATATTAGAACGGCCAGGGCAGGAAGTCGAGTCGCAAGTTCAGCAGAGCGAGGACACTGTAAGATCGATAATTGTCCCGCTGCGTTTGTCCCGCGGCCAGATACATGTTGGCAGGGTTGGAATTACAAGTGTACACCGATTGTTAGAAGACCTGCAAAGGATACACGATTTAGACGAGTTATGGTGTGTATATATAAATAGTTATATATATGCACATACATTTCTATATAATATATATATATATATATATATATATATATATATATATCGAATTGTTAAAACTGTTGGAGATGTGTGAGAGCTAGAAGGAGTCGATGACCGAGATTGTGCAACGGCGTTCCCGTACGATTGTCCCCCGTCTGGCCCGTGCAGTTGCACCATGGGTGCATTATGGTTGTCCCGTGCGGTTGCCCCATGTCTAGCAACAGGATGTTGAAACTCACTGGATGGGCACTTCAGGACAGTGAATCGGGATGTACGGGCCAGTCGAGCGACACGACCAACAATGCCTAGAGCTACGATCATAGCCAGAACAATCACACGAACGGCTACAAAATTGTCGCTGCTGTACTAGATGAGTTGGAAGAAGTATCCTGGTTAGCGGAGGTGTGGAGTCATTGTGGTGAGAGTGCTTGTGGAGAGCTGGCAAAACGAAAGGAGTTCGAAGAGTTCGGGGATTGGCAACCCAACGCGAAGCCAATCGCGAATGGAAAATTGCACCCGTCTCCCCACAACACCGTGGGACGGTTTTGCGTATATGCTTGCCTTCCTGTCCGCGCCTGGAGGGTGTATACTCCGATTTCGACCCCGTGATCAGGCTGGCCAATTCCTGTCTAGGTGTATGATTGGCCGGTTCCTACAGCCGCGCAGGTGCCTGCTTATGATTCCGCCATCGAGCGGGAGCCGGACAAGCCCCATTTCGTCCACGAGCGCGCCAAGAGCCTGCAGGCGGCCGCCCCTGGAACTGCAGCGCTCACGGGATAGGTAGGTCGCCCCAGAAAGGGTTTCGCACTCGAGGGATCGAGAGGTTGTCACCTCTCATTCAGTTGGGAGACGCCAGGTGCACACCTACAACGATGCTAGCCAGTGAAAGGCTGGAGTAGGTGCATAGTTGGCGTCTCCCCACCCAGCAGAGCCTGGCAGAGGGCCAGCGGAAGTAGTAAAACGAGGGTGGTTTGTCGGCAGCGACCAGCGGAAGTTCGGCGGAAATGAAACACAACAACACAGGGGATCGTAAGGTTTTTGGAGTCGGCCAAATCACAACGGGCGCGATTCCGCAATATCAGGCTCCAGAGGGGGCGTCTTCAGGCATTGGGGCTTTTCTCGAAGACAGACCCGCGACGGAAAAGTGGTCCTGGAAACGGAGTCGAGAGCCCTGGCCTGTCACAGCTTCTCGGCAGGTCACGGGGGAGCGACCTGGGCAAGTGCACGAGCAAATTAGCACGCGCGATATGCATGCCCGTTGGTTCGGGCATCGCTCTGCATGACCGCTTCCGTGAGTAGCGAACCAGGCTCGGCCTCTCGCGCAGAGATTCTCGGAGCGACATCGCCGCCCGTTGCCCCATGCGCCCCACGCCACCCCTCCCGTTTGGAACGGGGGCGTTGGGGGAAACCGGGGCCGACGTCGACCTGCTGGCGCCGGGCGGTGCGCCGACGGGTGCAAAGGGCGCGGGTTTTCGACGGCCGGATGGCGAGTGCCTGGCAGCTTCCATGCGTTTCCATGCGCTGGTGGGGTGCATCCACAAGTTTCCGTCCGTAGATTTCCATCCATACGTGTCGGTTGTGTCTCAGCAGGCGCGAAGGAGGGGGGAGCAGGAGGAGGAGGAGGAGGAAAAGGAGCAGGACAAGCATGCAGATTGATGCAAAGGCTCCAGGAGAGGCCCTTGGCATTTCCTGCTCGTGCTTGCGGCGCTTTCCCCTGTCCGCTCGGTGCCTGCCGCTCCTGCGGCTGCCGCTGCTCCTCCCTCCTCCTCCGCGCGGTGTCGCTGACGGCCCGCGCGCGCGTCCGCGCTGCGATTTGGCGGCCGCCCTCCACGACGAGTGTAGGAGAGCTGGAAAAGTTGGCCAACAAGAGCAGCACGAGGGAGGATCTGCACGCCCAGACTGGTGACAGGAAGTACGAGCACGATGCCGCACAGCGCTTACTCATTCGGAGCAAGGGTGTGCTGTCCTTCGGGGCCCCGCGGACATCAAAGCTTGTCGTGTTGACCGTAGAGCTTGTTCATTTGACAGCACTTGCTGTCCGAGTGGGCAAGACTTGCTGCCAAAATGACAAGAATTGTTGCCAGGAGGGTTCTGGAGGACAGCAGCTCTCGTTCAACATGAACACGCAGTGTTGTTGGGCATCGTACCAATAGTTTCCGTCCCCATTCTAGGCGCGCAAAGACGAAGAGCGACGGAGGGGGGACGACACGGGAGGCGAGGAAATGCCGTTCCTCCACATCTTCTTTTTAGTCGCGCACGCAGGTGACACGACAGCTGACGGTATTATCTACAAGCACGGGCGTATTCGTTATTTTTACAGGTTGTTTCCTGCGTCGCAAGCGCAGTGCCGAGCCGATCCGATGTGATCTTCCGCTTCGCTCCCCCCCTTCCCCCATCTTCCCCGCCCCCATACAGTCAAAACCAGTTCAAAAACAGACTCCGACCTCCTGGGGTTGATTGGCCCGCTTCCCGAACCGCGTTCGGCCGTGGCGACGCCGGGTGCTCCCACCGAAGGCTCAAAGAGGGACGGGGAGGAGAAGGAGGAGGAGGAAGAGGAGGAGGAAGAGGAAGAGGACGAGGAAGAGGAGGAGGATGAGAAGGAGGAGGAGGAGGAGGAGGAGGAGGAGGAGAAGGCGCTCACTGCAGTCGTCCCCCCCCTCGTCGACAACTTGCCCACGCGCCCTGGAGAGCGCCGCCGCCGAGAGAGCGCGAAGCCCTCCGCAGGCGGTGGGCGACCACGAGAAGGCGGGGCGGGCGCCTTCCCGCGCGGAGGTCGGACAGTGACGGCCCTTCCTGCCAAGGACAAACAGGAGGAGGAGGAGGAGGAGGAGGAGGAGGAGGAGGAGGAGGAGGAGGAGGAGGAGGAGGAGGAGGGGGAGGAGGAGGAGGAGGAGGAGGACGACGACGACGAGGAGAAGGAGGAGGAGGAGGAGGAGGAGGAGGAGAGGAGGAGGAGGAGGAGGAGGAGGAGGAGGAGGAGGAGGAGGAGGAGGAGGGGTAGGAGGAGGAAGAGGAGGGGGTCCGTAACCGTTTTGTTTCAAAACTAAACGTTGCGAAGGGCTATAGACGCCCGAGTATCAGCGATTAGTTCTCGGCCCTTCTGGAGGCACCTTTCAGACTTCCAGCCTGCACAGGGCAGGCACGTTTTTCGATTGTGACCAGGGCCGTTCACAAGAGCTTCGTGACGTCTGTGATGCGCTGGAGATGGCCCCCACTTCTCGCCTCTCGAGATACCGATCTCAGTGGCGATGCTGGTGGTCACGTCGTCACCCCTCCTCGCGCTGCTAAACGTCATGTTCCCGAGGCTGCTTCCATCGACGCTGAGGCCTTCCACGATTGCTCTGACGGGTTCGCCCTTTGCCAATACATAGAGAATGTCGAGGGCGCCTTCACGCTGGATCTCAACTAGTTCCAGGACTCGGTCAACAACACTCTGGTCTCAACCTCGCGTCGTGTCAACGAGACCTGCCAGGGCCTGGGCCTGCAGGTGAAGCAGCTCGCGCCCCTTCAGCACACGGTGCGCTCGCACGGGCAACAGCTGGAGACGGTGTTCGCGGTGATCAAGATGCTCATGACGGAGTTGGGCGTGGCCAAGTCGTCGACTTCAGTCGCACTTGCCACAGCGACAGGGACAAATTTCGACAGGAATATGAATCCGACCATCGTCGTGGTCAGGTGTGCGAACATGGCCGCTCGTGCTGCTATCCATGATGCTTGCAAGGAGTGGATGGTCGCTTGTTCTGCGGACCCCGTGCAGCGGGAAGCGCAGGGCGACCCGTCGGCCAAGCGCTTCATCATCACGCCCAAGGGTGCCATCAACTACGCCAGCCGTCTCGTCAACCACGCGGTGGGGTGCTGGGGTGGATCAAGCCGTCGGATCGCGGCCGGCAGCGACGCGAGTTCTTCGCGCAGTCGGTCAAAAACGTTCGGGCGGCGTTCCACGTGGGCCCCGACAAGTCCCCCATCCAGATCAAGCGCGAGATGGCCTGCAAGAAGGCGAAAGGAGCACCCGGGCAGCTCTACCCATCTCGCCGAATCCTCATCAACAGAGAGCGCGGCATCTTAGATTGCCAGTGGAAGGAACTGCTGGAGATAACCCCCACCATCGGAGCCGATGTCGCGAGGCTGCATTAGAAGAAGAAGAAGAACCTGCAGGACATCGCCTTCAATGTCGCCCCGCTCGCGCCTGCCGCGCAGACTGCTTTGGCTGGCAGCGCTGACGATGCTGAGTGGAGCTCCTAATATTTGATTTCACCTATGGAGCGGGCAGGAGCGCCCGCCTGCGCCTTTTTCGCTTAGCCACGCGGAATGCAGCTGCTTTATCTCATCACAAAACGCTTCTCCGATTGAAAAAGCAGAGAGTGTTCCGTGACCTTTCGCTCCCTGATTCCATCACTGCCGCGCAGGAAACGCGCGGAAACGCACATGATCTGACCGATTTCGCCCATACAGTGCTCGCGTTTTCCACTTCACCTCCCCCTTCGCCCCTCCTGACTCCCCCGCCGCTTCCAGAACTGGCAGATTAGCCATTTTTCCCCCCGCTTTGAAAGGCCCGAGGTTCGGCGGGAACTTTTAAGCGCCCCCCCCCCCCCCCCCTTCTATCTCTCGCGACCCCCTGGTCCCTGGGCGAGTTCTTCACACCAAAACCCACGATCTTGATGGTCCTTCGTGGATGTCCCACTTGACCGTCCACGACGAAACGTTCACCGTGCAGGAGAGATGTCTCGTTTCTCGGAAGATCCAGTCGAAGGTGGCGGCCGCTCGCGCGCCCCCTCTGCAGCGCACTGTCTTCGTGGCTGGTGGCTCCAACTTTGCTTGCATCTCTGCTCGCCCTCTTCCTGGCCATGGATCTGCCGCGGCCGCCCCTCCTCCCCATCCTCCTCGGGAGTGGCGCGATGCACTCGGGCAGCTGGTGGAAATTTCAACTGGAGGCCCCCACCCACTGCCACGCTGGGACCAAGATGGTCTCGTTCATCGATCGCGCGTTCACGTCGGCCCCCGGCCGGGTCTCGAACCAATATTCGCCGGCGGCCGAGTTTCGCAGGATCTTGAAGTTTTCCACGCCCCAGGGCTCTCGGACCATTCCCCCGTTTCGGCGTGTTTTCAGACTCGGGGGCAGGTTCCTCGGGGCCGACGCCCCACCCCGACGAGGGATTCCCAAGTCTGTCGACCACGCGGATTACATCGAGAAAGCTTGGGCGGCCGCCCCGCCCACCCCCGACAAGAGCCAGCCGAGGGTGCACGCGCACTGCGAGAATCCGATGATCGAAGCTGCCCACGCCGCCAGGCACATAATCATCTTTCACAAGCGGGGGGTTCTTTTCGCCTGATACGCGGTCATTCGAAGCTGCGGGAGAGCGGCCCCCCAGTCCGACTTCAACTTTGCCTGCGAGCGGCCGCGCTCGCACCCGCTCGCCCACGAGCACCTGGGCGCACAGCATGAGGAGCGCACGGCGAGGCACGGCGATCCTGGAGGATTCGCTACGATTTCGAGCGGGCTACACTTCTAGGCTAGGGAGAAGAAGAGGCAGGATATCAGGACGAGGGTCGAGGAGGAGAACAACTAACGAAATCGCACAAACAGCAGGAAGAGAGCACTGATAAGCCCAGCAGTTATGGTCACTATTTGACAGGCGCATGCACCTGGCGGGCACTCGCATCGATTGGAGGCGCCGTCGCGTCCGAGCCGACGCACATGTCCCAGCGGCTTGGAGAGCACCCGGGGGTTCACGGCGGAGCCCTCCTCGCTCGGCCCCGCGCGGAAGCTGCTCGCGACGAACGCGCCCCAGCTGCCGTCCGTTGACGCCCCTCTCCCCCCTCCCGAGCTTCCGCGCGCCGAAGAAAATGTTGGAAAGAGCCCGTCACTCGGCCTCTAGGCCCGACAATCCTCCGCGCGAAGCCCAGCGATTCGCCCCACACGGGACTGAAGCGTCGTTCGACCGCGCGCGGTGGATGCTCGAGGTGTTCTCGCTAGGTCGCGATTTTAAAGAGGTCGTGGACGTCTTTGCTCCGAAGGGCCCCGAGGGCAATGGTGACTGCGGGGCCCTCGGGCTGGCATCTAACACCAGACCCCTGGGCTTCGACAGCGCGACAACACGGGATGATAACGGCGGCATGCGGCCACGCTCTGAACAGGGTAGCCCCTCTTGGCCTCGGCGAGATCCAGCGGGGCTTCGTGATGGGGAGAAATTTCGGGGACAGCATCATCGACCTAAATGTCGAGGCCCGTCTGTACAGCATGGACGACCCGTCCTTGGTGCCCGCGCGCGTCGTGCATGACTTTGGCCGGGCGCTTTCGTCAGTTCGCCAGTGGATGATGCTTGTCATTGCTACGTTGCCGATCCCGCAGCCGCTCAAGGTTTTCACGCGCTTCTTTACCACAATGACACGTGCTGGGGAAAGCTAGGTGAGCATGCCAGTTACCTCTCTCAGATATCTAGTGCCATTATTCAAGGATGCCTTGCCTCTGGCCTCCTGGTGGCCCGCAAGGGGGCCGGCGGAAACCGTGCCCGCGCATCCTTCTTGGGACATCAACCATAGCATACCAGTGTAAACGTTTAAGGCGAATGCGCACGATGCTACGACGAGGGCCACATTTTAAAAAGAACTGACCCACACTGGCCACATTGCTGCAATGTTTTAAGACGAACACGCTCGACACCAAGGCGAGAGCCACAGTTTGAAATCCACCCGCCCTCCATTCGCGACGGCGCAAACTTTTCAGACGAATGTGCGCCGCGCTAATGCGAAAGCCACATTGTGAAAGGACAAACAAAAAAAAGGCCCCCCATTTGTGAAATTAGGGGATGTGTTTAAGACGAGCGTTCACGGCGCCACGGCGAGAGCCAAATTTTGCAAACGACACGCCCTTCATCCGTGAAACTATTGCACCTTCTGAGTTTGATTGTCACACATGGTGAGGAAACGCCCTGCCCGCCCTACCAATACGCGACAGAGAGGAGTCGTCGAAAAGGGAGAAAGGATGGAGGAGGACCAGTTCACACCCAAAAGGCATTAACGATGTTGCAATAAACACTAGATCATAGACCCCCCTTTTTTTTCAAAGGTCCGTCCACGAGTGTTTGCTCAGTGCGGGAAATACCCAATTTGAAGGCAGCCGTCTGATAATGTCCATGGCAATCCTAAACCGAGCCATAAAACAGTTCCTGGGACTTCAACACCGCGAACCAACGTGCCTGTTCCATCCTGATATTCCTAGATCATGTCAGAGCACCGTTCCTGGGACATCAACCATGTGAGCCCTTGGAACTGGTGCAAATGTGTTGAGGGAAATTCAGGATTCAAGCGGATGCAAGCATTCAAAACGACTGCGCGCGACGCTAAGGCGGGAACCACACTTTGAAAACGGCTTGCCCTGGCCCGCCCTCCATTTTTGAAGTTGCTGCAAATGTTTGAAACAAATGCGCGCGGCGCCTGGGCGAGAGGTGTATTTTGAAAACGGCCCGCCCTCCATCCGTGAAATTGGTGGAAGCGTTTGAGACCAATGGGCGCGGCGGTGTGGCGAGAGCCACATTTTGGAAACGGCCCGCTCTCCATCCGCGAACTGAATGGAAGCGTTTCAACGAGTGTTCACGGCGCCACTGCGGGAGCCCCATTTTGCAAACGGCCCGCCCTTCATCCTTCATCCCCAACCAAGCCTCAGTGTGTTGGGCTCGGCCAGGCACCCCACAACGGTCCCGACGCCCTCCCCGACGCGTTTCCCGACGCCCGGCCCCGCGCCCTGC